CTTCCCACGTAGAATACTCAGAACAACCTGGGTCTAAATTTTGAAGCTGAAGGATAGACTCATACCTTGAAAAATCATTTAAAAATAGCTACTGTTTACTAAACACTTATTGTTCTTCAGACTCTGTATATATGTGTGCATTATCTCATCTAAGCCTTGCAACAACCCTATAAGGTAGACACCACTATTCTCCCTATTTTATAGAGGATGAAACTAAGAATCAGGAACATTAAGTAATGGTCTCAGGAACATACACTTAATGAGTGGCAGAGGTAGAATTCAGAAAGGGTCACTAACTCCCAGGCTTGAGCTCTTAACAATTATCTCTCAGGCATGGGGAAAGGAGCCCCGCTTCTCACGAGAACGGGAAACAGATGCCTTTCTTGCATGGATTCTGAGTCTGTAATGACATAAGACAACGTCAGGAATATTTACCTTAGACCAATTATTAAACTTCAGAGTAGACTGGTATCACACTGAAGGCTTGTTAAAACATAGATTGCTGAGTCCCATCCTGAGAATTTCTCCCTCCTTCTCTTTCTTCCTTTGCTCCTTCCCTTCCCTCCCCTCTACTCCCATCCCTTCCCTTCCCTTTCCTTCCTTCCCTTCTTTCCTTGTTTTTTGTTTGTTTGTTTTTGATGGAGTCTCACTCTGTCACCCAGGCTAGAGTGCAGTGGAGCAATCTCAGCTCACCGCAACCTCTGCCTCCCGGGTTCAACTGATTCTCCTGCCTCAGCCTCCTGAGTAGCTGGGATTATAGGCACCTGCCACCATGCCCAGGTCATTTTTGTGTTTTTAGTAGAGGTGGGGTTTTGCCATGTTGGCCAGGGTGATCTCGAACTCCTGACCTCAAGTGATCCACCTGCCTTGGCCTCCCAAAGTGCTGGGATTACAGGCATGAGCCACCAGACCGGTCTCCATCCTGAGGATTTCTGATTCATTAGTCTAGGGTAAGGCCGGAGAATTTGCATTGCTAACAAGTTTCTGGGTATTGGTGTTGCTGCTCCTTTGAGCACCATTGTCTAAACCAGGCATCCCCAAACTTTTTACACAGGGGGCCAGTTCCCTGGCCCTCAGACCGTTGGAGGGCCGCCACATACTGTGCTCCTCTCACTGACCACCAGTGAAATAGGTGCCCCTTCCTGAAGTGCAGCGGGGGAACCGGATAAATGGCCTCAGGGAGGCCACATGCAGCCCGAGGGCCGTAGTTTGGGGACGCCTGGTCTAAACCAAGTTTCTCTAACTAAGTGTCATTGCCTGAGTGGCTTCCCCTGCCTAATTAATCTTTCACTGTTTAGTCCCAGATCCCCTGGGGTCTTGACAAGCTATAATGTTATCTTCTGCAGTGCCCTGTGTTTTGAAATCTTCTGAACTCTTCTGAAAATAGTGAACATCTCCCACTCTAAAACTAATGTGCTGTTGCCTTAGGTAAGACCTGAGATTCCATGAAATGTAGAAAGAGGAGCTGGAAGAACCAATAATAGATAACAAAGCAGCCTGGTACACTGAAGCCAGACCAGTTCCCTCACAGGCAGCGGCAGTCCTTTTATAACCTCTGGGATTGCCTCTAGGAACTGTTCACAAGAGGGCATTCATTAAAACCTCTTCAGGGCATTCGTATTCATGAAGTTAAAAAGAGCTGTAACACAGTGACTGGCCCTTTAATGTCCCTCCCCCCTGAAACACATTCCTCCCTCCGAAGAAGAGGCTGTAACTGTATTCCCTGCATTCACGATTGAGCTAATTTTCTCCCTCGGCTCAGTCTCGAGGGAAGCTGACAGGAAATAAGAAAGCCTGTGGTCCAGGTCTGCTCACACAGAGGGGAGGCTAGAGAAAGGGGCCAGTAATCAGGATTAACCAATTTAATGCCTGACTTGTTTATCCTGCAGAAAACAACATTTGGTGATGCTCTTGTTGATCCCTTCAGAGTGTGGCATCTTTATCTTAGGCTTTTGCAGACTGTGAAAATAAATGAACACCTTCGTAACAAAGCAAAAGAATTCATCAGTGGAGGAAAAATAACTTTGAGAAACACACATGCACGAGGATCAGTGTAAGGCAGGCCTCAATTTCTTTATGCAGCCATTGCAAGTGTTGGGATGAGAAGAGCAATATACAGCTGGTTCGCTGAAAGGGCTCGGATGCAAGTATAAGGAGGCTTAGGCACCAGAAAGAAGCCTTTTGGAAGCAACTCCACCTTCACCATGAAGTTTTAAGGGCAACAGAATCAATGAAAGATAGGCTCTATTTGAGTCTGGAAACAACCAAATTTTTTGGAGCATTTTCCTTTTCTTCAGGCAGCAACTAATAAATCCTCCTCACTCCATCTCCAGGATGACAGTTAGGATGACTGGATTGTATGGATGTCAGGATGACCCAGATAACTTCAGAGGGTCTCTATCTGGTCCTGCAAATGAGAACTACTGAATTCTGGCCACGAGGCTATCAGCCAAGGCTATATGATAAATTGTAGAAAATTAGTCCAGAAAAAAACGAGTAAGAAGATTAGACATTGATTAACTATATGTCAAGCACTATGCTCAGCTATTATTTTCTCCTTTAGTGCTCATGGTAGCTCAATAAAGTAGATGTTATTATTATTATTACACCCAATTTACAGAAAGGGTAATAAAGAAAATACGAATTCAGGAAGTTCGTCTATGTTCACCCAGCAAGTAAGCTTGGGATTAGAATTCAACTTAAATCTGACTCTAAATCGTAATCTTAACCTTTATGCTATATTCCCTCCAAGCAGTGCAGAACATATATTGAGTCCTAAAAGCCTAAAAGTACTGGAAGGACAGGAGAGAAAGCAGAGAATCCCTTTAACTTTACATCATTGATGCAGAGGTATGTGTTGAAAAGTATGGTTAGATCACCACGGAGTAGTTGGAAGATACAAGCTCTATCCAGCACAATCCAGGAAGACTGTGCCTCATGCGTCAGCAGCCAGGCACAGTCCTGGATGAAATGGGTATACAAGAGGGGCTGAACAGTAAGAAAGGGAACAATGGAAATCCCCTTCTCTATCTCTGTTTTTAAAAAAAATATTTAAAAAAATTCTTAACATCTTTTGAATCTGAAAGAGGAACTTCACCAGCTGCATGAAATATCAATACATGGTTCCTATTTCATGTTTTCCTAGGAATACCACAAACCAGCATAACCAATGGGAGGGAGAATGTATTCAAAGTTCGTTTTTGGCTCACTAGGTCTACCTACAATGCCTCCATAAGAACAAGAAAAACTCTGAAATAAAGGCAGGGTAGAAAGTCATGATTTCATGTGGCTTCTTTGGGAAGTTCTCATTTCCCAGACGCCTCCTCATCCTGGAACACTTGGCAGTCTAAAACCACTTTCTCCTCCACCATTTTCACTTCCTCATTGGCACTGAGGGTACAGATTTGTCAATGAACTATTTTATGTTCTTCCCCTTGCCATCTGGCAATATTAGCTCTCTAATGAATTGCTTCAACTTGTATATTTTTTGGACAAATGTGACTTTTAGTTGAATTGTGCAACATCCATAAATAGCAAATCCTGACTGATTAGAATCAATGAACACCCTTAGAGTTGTCAGCAAAAATGGGCCCTTAGCTGAACATTACTTAGATAATAATTTGAAAGGCATCTGATTATTTTTGGGAAAAAACCTTTTACACACACATTATATGTCATCTGTTATGTATGTAGATAAGTGTTTGAATTTGAATGGATTTCTGCAAGCGAGTCATGTTTCAAATATAAGTGCTAGATATACTTGGATTTGGAGCTAAACACATTTGGATTTGAATCCTGCCCTCTGCCACTTACAGGCTACATGAACTTGGGTACATTTCTTAATCTCTCTGTCTCACCAGTTTCTCACATGTAGAATAGATATAATAAATCCCTTGCAAGCTTAACTTAAGGAACAAATGAGACCACACATGCAATGTACTTGGCACAGTGTCTAGGCATATTATGGCTTAGTAATTAGTGACTACTATGATCATCATGCTGTTCTATTAATAGAGGATTAGAGCAAACCCAATTTGTGGTCTCTACCAACACTTAATCTTTCCCTTCTGAAAACTGCCATAGCAGTGGGCCTCCAAAGCCTGGTGTCTATGATACAACACTGCTTTAGTGATAGGGCAAGAATAAGGATACCAAGGAAATGTGAGTTTGAGCAATCTTCCTATCCTCACCCAGCCATTGGGTTTTTTTTATACAACTTGGCAGATTCTCTTTTGGATTAGAAAATGGTCCCTATTATCCCTCTAAACTAAGAAATTGTGAGGGGGTCATGTTTGGCAACATGCATGCCAAGGCACTAAAAGTCAGTCTGCAGAATGTTGTTGATGTGCAGAAAGAAGCAGATTGACTTTGACTTGAGCTCAAATAAAAGAATGCCTTGGTTCTGATAACTTTCCACTTTCATGGTAAACCATCTTCCATCTTGTCTTTCCTCCCTCCCTCCTCCCCTTCTCTCCACTCCCCTCCCTCCCTCTCTCCCTCCCTCCCTCCCTCCCTCCCTTCCTTCCTTCCTTCCTTCCTGCCTTCCTTCCTTCTTTCCTTCCTTTTCTTTTTTTCCTTCTTTTTCTCTTTCTTTCCTTACTACTTTGGGTGGGTTTTCTTAGTCTTCAACCAAAAGATGTTTGTTAACAGTGTCATCTCTGTACATGAGACCACAGACCTTCTCTGTTTGGCTTGAATAGCCTAAGCATTTGAAAGGTACCTGATTTAAACAAACAAACCCCCAAAACTTCATACACTCACATGCACACATGCGGGCACACACATTTTCCTTATGTTATCGTTTTTCAACTCCTGAAGAGCATTAGGTATAAAATCAAAATAGTCATATAGGTAAGGAAATCAAGTATGTATGGAAAAAAAGGGAAAAACAAAAAGGTTTTTTTCAAAAAAGAGCCATAAACATTCCTGATATTACAAAAATAGGTCATCTGATCACTTTGCAGAGCCCAAGAAAGAATGGAGAGACCCCAGCTCTTTACCTGGTGTTGCACTGGATACTGTTGGCCACTGTTGATCAGGCCCTCCTGGACCAGCCCGTAGAATGCCAGCCTCCTCTAGGTGCACAGAGCTGAGTAAACACACAGACCCAGATAACGGTTAGACCATAAATGCTTTCCCAGCTCTTCTTCCACCCTCAGAAATTGCTTACATCTAAGAAGACAGGGCTGCAGCTAACACATTCTCCTCATGCTTGAACTGAAGCAATTACTGCTGAGCAGTCACCCTGCATAAACTGCAGGAGCATTGCTGACTTACTTACTGCCTGCTATACTATTCCAGGAATACACATGTTCTATCTTTATGGCAATTTTTTTTTTATTAATGCCACGTGGCACTCACTAAATCTAACAGGAAGCCCATCAGAAGACTAAGCCATTTTAATATCTTAACAGTGAAGCAGATGAGGAGGGCTTGTTCTCAGAAACCCCAAGCCTCTCTTGCCAGTTCTCTTGTTTCTGGGTTCTCTACTCTAAAAAGGAAAACACACCAAAATTATTGGCTGATAATTGGAGTACTGTTCCATTTTGGTTATCCAATTAATTCTTAATCTTATTTTCTGTTTTACTCTTTCTACATCTCTTATGCATAGATGACCCACCCTGTATTCCTGAGACTAGAGAAACCTGATCACCACCACTCACAGATTCCAGTTCAGAAGAGATTAATTCAACATAAAACACTGCTGGGAGTGAGATGCAAACTGGGAGACCTTCAGAGGCAAGCAGAGATAGAACATAAATTGTTCAAGGGAAAAGAAAACATGGTACAGTATTCATTTGTGTATGTCTAATACCAACAAATATTAATCTCTCAAATATTTGTTGGATATATGAATGAATGATGGAAGAAAGGAAGAAATAAGTATGATCCTAAGAGAAAATGTCCAAGAAAACCATCATCAAAATTAGAAGACCCTTTTATTTTATTTTATTTTATTTATTTTTGAGACAAAGTCTTACTGTTTCACCCAGGCTGGAGCATAGTGGCTCAATCTCAGCTCACCACAACCTCTGCCTCCCAGGTTCAAGCAATTCTCCTGCCTCAGCCTCCCAAGTAGCTGGGACTACAGGCAACTGCCACTATGCTCAGCTCATGTTTGTATTTTCAGTAGACACAGGGTTTCACCATATTGGCCAGGCTGGTCTTGAACTCCTAACCTCAAGTGATATGCCTGCCTCAGCTTCCCAAAATGCTGGGATTACAGGCATAAGCCACCATGCCTGGACTAGAGGACCCTTTTAAACTAGACATGTGTTTATTTTGAAAGTTAAATTTCTAAAATAAAATTAAGACTACTGACTGAAGGGCTTATATGAGGCAACAGAGCAGGCAAACTTGAACTAGTGGGAAGGCAACATATAAGTTCAATATCTTCTCACTCTTTGACTTCAAACAACATATCTAGTAGAAATCCACTCATTAAACTCTGACCTTTTGCTGTTCTTCCCTTCATCTATACTCTGGAATTACCTGATTGTTTCCCAAATATTAACAGCCTTCAAGTGTTCCTGGATTCTACCAGCAAATTGTGTGAGCTCAATCAGATTCATGAAGGTGTAACTATCCTGGAGCCAGCTCAGCTCAAAGCAGCATTTTTTAAAGAATAGCTACATGATATCTGAGACTGGAAAGGCCAAGAAGCCAAGCACACATATGAAAAAGGTGAGTATTATTTAGGTTCACAACTCATTTAATATGTTCAATGTATTACAATGCAAAAAAGAAATGGCATTTTAATTTCTATTTTTATTTCTGACTTTACTAAAATCTCATAATATCTTAATTGAAACCTGAATAGGAGCACATTTGGCTTTTTTTTTTTTTTTTTTTTTTTTCAATTTGAAAATGGGATAAGGGTGGCCGGGCGCACTGGCTCACACCTGTAATCCTAGCACTTAGGGAAGCCGAGGTGGGTGGATCACCTGAGGTCAGGAGTTCAAGACCAGCCTGGCCATGAAGGTGAAACCCCATCTTATAAAAAAAAAAAAAAAAAAAAAGAAGAAGAAGAAGAAAGGAAATGGGATAAGGAAGTTATGTTTTAATGTTTTATTTCAAATGTAGTTTTTAAGGCACAACTCATAGCTTTGGTACTTTTGAAGCGAAGCACTAGTTCAACTGAGAGAGAAAGAACTGACACTGTAAACCATGCTTTTACCCAAGGCATGGCTCCACCAACAGCTTAGATGCAGGAAAAACACAAGTTGGTCCCTAATAAATACAAAGAATTTCTTCTGATACCTAATATTCTGATATCTGCATGAGTGTTTCTGGCCTAAATATGACTCAGGGTCCAATGTGACATCTCACCAAGCCAACTACTAATCTTCAGCCCTTCACTGATTGCTTCTGAACCAGAAATAGCACCCAATATAATGACTTCTGCTCATTTGTAATACTTGAGAGTATCTTAATTTATTTCAATCTGATGCATTTTAAATGGACAAAAACTAATTTTACATTAATTCTACACATACTTTGTAGGCTTTCTCCTTAGGAACTGCTCTAGGTTTGAAGAATATTCACTTGATAGTTGTCCCGATATTTTGAAGTGTTTAAGTTTGAAGATTATTTCTTCTTTAAAATTAAATCCTTTTCATAACAGTGATCATTTGTTTCTTGGTCCTTCCCATTTTGTTTCCAAAGACATTCACAAATAATGAATCTTTTATTTGGCCTTGTGGCACGGATACTAGATCAGCTCCAGAAATAATGGTAGTTCATCAATTACCATCAGAGAGACAAAGTAGAGAAAGCAAAATTATATTTAATCTGATTCTTAGGGTAATGCTATTACTCTAGGTTAATTTAAAGTAAGCTAGATTTGGTCTCCAGATATCCAGTAGATGCCCTTTACATGGCTCATCCTCTGAAGAACCTATGTCATTGGTGACAATAAGATAGCACCAAGATGGGAAAGATGAGGAGACTCTAATAGGGGTGAACATGAACAAGAATAGCCATCAATTATTGTGGGTAATAGGATGTAATTATCAATGTGAGATAGAAAAACAAGGTAGACAACATGTACATATATATTACGCAAGGTACCCAAGCCTCAAAACATCAGTATTAATTACAGTTTTTAACAGAGGGGAAGAAAATATAAGTAGAGAGGCATGAAGGAGATGGAAATTACTTCCCTGTAGAAATTTTGATGGGAGAAAATACACAGCAGCCTGTTTCTGTGATTTTACAGAGGACTCTTATATGCCAGCACTTGGTAAGCATTTGGCACTGACCACTTCCAATCTTTCAAGGAATAGACATGGGGACAAAATAACTGCATTTTTCTGGCAAAGTTAAAGCTCTTTAGTCTTGACAGTTGCTTCTGGCCTATGAAGATGCAGTTTATCTGAGCTATACTAAGGTAAGGTTACTTCTGAGTGAACGAGGAGGGAAATACATACCTGTGCATGCCTGCTCTCAGGGAGGCAGAGTAACGCCAGTCAGGGTTGGGCTGTCGTGGCTGCAAAATCACAAAGAGAGTTTTCTGTTAAAATGACAAGACAATGTTCTCCCAGTGATGATTCCCTTAAATATTTCCAGGCATCTAAAAAAAGTGTTGAATGAGCCATTTCCTGTGTAACTCTAGGATGATATCTATACATATAGCACTTTAGAAGAAAATTAGTTCATCAGGGTCCTCACACAGATTAGATATCCTGGAAGACCACATCTTGTAAAGGCCAGCTTTGGCTTTGCCTTGCCCAATACACATTTGTGTTCTTAAAATACTAGGGGAAGAACAGTCTATTTTGAGACAGGAAAAGCTTCATTGCTTTTGCCCTCAAGTGCACCATTAAGGGAACATTCCCAATTCAGTATTATAGCTATAACGGGGCACGTAGCTACACAAGTTTTGCTGGCCTGGCTGGACTGCAGAGGACTGCAATCTGCTGCTGGCTTTGCAGACTGCAGCATATTTGACCCAAGGCAGATGTGCCCAGTCATAACACCAGAAACTGATAACAGCCTCTTTGCTGATTGAAGAGGGATACTAGGGAGAGGAAAAGAAACTACTGCAGCGTTTGACCTTGTTTTGCTACCTAATCCTTTTCATAAATTTGTACTTGTTCCTGCTCCTTTCTGAATGCTTTCCCTCCTCACTGAATCACTGTTCACTAAACTCTGATTGTTTAACAGGGAGTAGCTGAAATCTAAGAAAAAAATCTGATTCATTTTGGACCAGTTGTGTGTTGGAAAGATCTATTGCCCTCTTTCTACAAACTGTCAGTCTAAAGGGGGAGAACAAAGAGGAAAATATGGGTACCTAAAGACTTAAAGACTGTTGGGGAAATTGTGCACTGGTTAAAAGTTACTCAGAAATCACTGGGACATTATCAGTCACCATCCTGTCTTGTATCAGTAAGCAAAAATGTTACTGTGAAAAACTTGTGACACTATTCTAGATGCGTTTTCATGGGTAGAGATTAAGGTGGCCCTGTCACTGAATATTGAGGTATAGTTGAATGGAAAAATGGGGGATAAAAGTTGTATTTTGTATTTTTCTCTACATTATATTTATCTTATTTGGTAGAAACAAAACCATAGTAACATCAATAGACTATTCCAAATTGTCAACGATTCTTACTCCTATCATTCATATAGTTCCTTCAAGGGATGCAAAGTATCTAATAAACATATTTCTTCATAATACCCAGGAGAGAAATCATCATCATCTCAATTTTCAGACAGATTTGTAGATGGTTACATGATATTCAATATTCAGAGATTTAGCCAAAGTCAAGGCCCAGAAAAAGTTACAACTCTGGGATACCTTACCTCAATGATCCTCACACACTAACTACTCTCTCTGTTCTTCCAATGTCCTGGCAAGATTCCTCCTTGGTTTTCAAGTTCACACAATGCTATGGACATTCCATATAAAGTAGCATAAAATTATCTACAGAACAAATCAAAGGAGTTTCCATTTTCTACTAGTGATGTTAGAGAGAACAAGAGAAAATATTTGTAAATCATTTTATAAACCTGGAAATATGTCTGAAATACTTTTTATTAATCAATCATCACCATCATCTCTCCCTTCTCCATCAGGAGCATTATTGTTAGCTTGTCAGCTGAGAGAACCTTCCTTCAAGAAAGACTGTAACATCTGTTGAGTAAATGTTGCCAATTTTTCTATGATTGGGTAACATTCATGATGAAAATTGCTGCAACTTGATCTTTGGAATGAAATCACCAAACTCATTTTGCTGAAAGGCACAGTTTTAGCAGGACTGACCAGGAAACTAGGTTCATTATACAGTCTCTCTTTCCCAATGACACATTAAATTTGTCATGCTGCTATTTTCTATACTAGTCCACAGCAACAACATGCTTCTCAGATTCATTTGCCAGAATCACAGTTACAAGATTTCTTATGGCAGTAAGATTGGGCAGGGAAAAAGAAAGGAAGAAAGCATTTAATATGTCTTAAGTAGCTTCATACTACTAGATTTTGCACTTAATTACATACTATTGCATTTATCCTGATTCTTTGTAAACGCTATGAAAGTGATTGTATCTGTTTTGCTCATTAGATACATGCATATATTCAGTTATTCATAAATGCATAGGAATATAGAGTCTAGCAGGGTTCTGGCATTTGAGAGGTTTTTAAAATGTGTTTTAATAAATGAACTATAATGCAAAGTCAACATTATTGTACTTAAATTGCAAAAATAAGAAATCTGAACTTTAGAGAGATTAAATTACTTGCCTGATTGCTGAGTTCAGCTGACAGTCATGCTTAGGTCTCCTTAACACAAAAGTCTGTGCTGTATTTATTTGTTTCTATTTATTTATTTATTTATTTTGAGACCGGGTCTTACTCTGTTGCTTAGGCTGGTGTGCAGTGGTGCAATCTCGGTTTCCTGTAACCTCTACTTCCCAGGTTCAAGCAATTCTCCTGCCTCAGCCTCCTGAGTAGCTGGGATTACAGGCACCCACCACTATGCCCTGCTAATTTTTGTATTTTTAGTAGAGATGGGGTTTCACCATGTTGGCCAAGCTGGTCTTGAACACCTGACCTCAGGCAATCCACCCACCTCTGCCTCCTAAAATGCGGGGATTACAGACCTAAGCCACCATGCCAGGCCAAAAGTCTGTGTTTTAAATAAATGTACATGCAATCACATATATTTTTCTTCTTTGTCTTTTTTTACTTCTGAGTTTCCCAGATATTGATGTATTTTAAAAACAATACAAAATTAAAAGTAATAAAATGTACATGAGTTTTATCCGGAACTTGATTGAATTCAGAAAAATTCAAGTTAAAAGGTTGACTACTGATACATGTGACACAGTATATGTTAAGCCTTGAAATAACTATGATTATTTAGTTCTTTAATACTTGGATGGTACCTCCCTGGACTATGCTTACTTTCTATTGGTGAAGAGCTCCAATATGTCCTATTGTTTCAAAGGTTAGTCTTTTGGTAGAATAACACAAAACTTCATATGTGGACAAATTCAATGAGTTAGTCCATATGAGTGATGCAGTATTACTGAAGAATAAGAATACACTTGTGTTCCTATTAAAATTATAAAAAGATTTAATTTATCTTGTATTGGTGTTATTTGTGATTTATACCATAGAATATTTGAGCTACAGATGGATGAATCACCTCTTCTAAGATTTAAAGTAAAATAAGTTTAAAATACCATATTTTATTCATAAACTTACACAATTACCCAATGAAATAATATGCTATCTTCTTAACATGGAAATCCATGTGGAAGACATCAATAAATTGCCCTCTGGGACATGGGACTGCATATAATAGCTCCTTTTCCTTCCTAATATGACTCTATTAAGAATATATCCTCTGCAGATTTTTCATAGTGCTAGTTTGTGAACATTGATATAAACTGATAGGCAGAATTCCAAGATGGCCCCAAGATCCCTATATATACACCCTGAATGATCTCCAAGACTGTGACTGTGACGGATCTTACTCCCATGATTACATTATGTTATATAGCACAGTTGGCTTTAAGAAAGGAAGATTGGCCGGGCGCGGTGGCTCAAGCCTGTAATCCCAGCACTTTGGGAGGCCGAGGCGGGTGGATCACAAGGTCGAGAGATCGAGACCATCCTGGTCAACATGGTGAAACCCCGTCTCTACTAAAAATACAAAAAAATTAGCTGGGCATGGTGGCGCGTGCCTGTAATCCCAGCTACTTAGGAGGCTGAGGCAGGAGAATTGCCTGAACCCAGGAGGTGGAGGTTGCGGTGAGCCGAGATCGCGCCATTGCACTCCAGCCTGGGTAACAAGAGCGAAACTCCGCCTCAAAAAAAAAAAAAAAAGAAAGGAAGATTATCTGGATGGGACTGACATAATCATATGAGCCCTTTAAATCTGGGTCTAGAGGTCAGAGACAGAGCCGGAGAGATTCGAAGCATAAGAGGGATTCCATGTGAGGGAAGATTCTCCATTGCCAGCCCTGAAGATGGAGCAGACCATGGGACAGGAGTCCTGAGTCCTTAGTTCTCTACGAACTGAGACTGACCCCAGGCCATAGTAAGTAGGAAAACAGAGATCTCAGTCTCCAGGCAACTGGATTCTGCCAATAATGTGAATGAGATTGAAAGCGGATTCTTCCTCAGAGCCTGCAAAAGAGAACACAGCCCAGTTGTGTTCATTTCAGCATTGAGAATACCTGAGCAGACAACTCAGCCACGTGGTACAGGACTCTGAGATAACAAATACGTGGTGTTTTAAACCACTTATTTGTGATAATTTGTTGCAAAGCATTAGAAAAGGGATATATAGGATTGCTGCCAGGCACTGGGCAATACTTGGCTGGGTTTTGAGCGGGCTTCCCAGGGACAAAAATGGCTATGCCTAGTGATTTCTACCTCCGTTACTACGTAGGGCACAAGGGAAAGCTTAGATATGCCAACAACAGCAGTTACAAAAATGGTGTCATGATCAGAAAACAGGCTATGTGCACAAGAGTGTAATGGAAGAACTGAAGAGAATTATTGACGACAGTGAAATTACAAAAGAAGATGAAGCTTTGTGGCCTCCCCCTGACAGGGTTGGCCGACAGGAGTTTGAAATTGTAATTGAAGATAAGCACATATCTTCTACCATCTCAAAAATAGGTTCTCTTATTGATGTAAATCAGTCAAGGATCCTGAAGGCCTTTGAGTATTTTACTATTTGGTACAAGACTTGAAATGTTTAGTTTTCAGTATCATTGAATTACACTTCAAGATTAAACCAATTCAAATTGTATGTTTTTCAAGCTGTTTGTATATTTAATAAGGGATAGAAGGATTTGTCATTTACAATATTGGGGTTTTTATGAATGTGAAGCAAACAAAAAATTTGTATGTAAACTGAAAATAAGAAAATATGTTAGCAAGCTTAATGGTTATCCCTACCTGAGTCCACATGGGTTGGACAGTTCCCACACATTAAATTCTGTAAATAAAAGCCACCTTTTGTTAAAAATTCG